TACTCTATACTTCAAGGCGTCAATATTTTCTATAGCTCTAGACAGGGCTTCCTTCACACTCAACGGATTGTTTTTCTCTATCGCCCTAAGGCTTTGATTCAATTCATCTAGGAGCTTTCCTTGGAGTTCTACCAGTTGTTGCATAGTTCCACATTTTTCTATTATGAGATCAGCTGCTGTTTCCTTACTTCCTGCTTCAAGATTATCTGATTTCTTTCCCTCCAGAGATCGCCGCCTGCCCCATGGTCCACTTTGCGGCGAATTTGCCGCGCCATCTCGTTCCGCAGTCGTGCTTGCATTTCGCTGGTCGGTAGTTATCCCTGGGTGGTTGGAGTACTTGGAGGCGATCTCTGCACTTTCGACTTCCCAGAAAACCTGCACGCTCTAGGCCTTCGCTTGTCACAATGTAAATATTTCAGAGACGCCAAGCGGTCCACGTCTCTGAGATTGGAGTCGCTGGTTAACGACCTCCGGGGGCCTGCTTGCCCACCCCCGGCTGCCGGTACTGGGCCTCCGAACCCCTGCACCCTAACGGTTGATCCTAAGGGACCTTGCATCGCGGGTTTCTTTTCGGAGTCAACTTCCCCTTGCGTTTTTGGAGGCTACCGCCAGCTGAAGAGGGGGGATAGTGACGAATATAATCCGAATAGTAGAGTTTCCCACCCCTCGTAATAGCGTCGGGGTCGGAAACACAAGGGTTTGGCGAACGAACAAGGGTTTGGCGTTTTACGAAGATTGGCCTAAAGGACAGAAAACAAGTGTGCCACAAGTAAGAGGAAGCAATAATACACGAAGATAGTGGGAGTGCATGGATGTTTAGGAGAGTGACAGCGGACAGCTGCTCCGATTAGTCGCCTTCTACAACAGGGGGAGGTCCCGTGGTGTTATTCGAATAAAAGCCCCGACACCACACGGGGATACAATAATAATAATAATAATAATAATAATAATAATAATAATAATAATAATAATAATAATAATAATAGATTTCATATTTCAATTCTTTCATTTTTTTCAAATATTATTTGTTTTCCATCAATCACTTGATAGTCATCAATTCTGGACATGAGGAAAGAGATTTAGCTGGGGGTCAATTCTTTTTTAAAAATTACATATCAAAAAACGGTCACGTAGAAACCTTCAGTTGACATTAGCATTGTCATAAGTGCTTTTATTCACTTTATTCGGCTTTTTCTGGTAGGTGTTACGAAGGTTATTTCACTTCGATTGAATCTCATATTTTGTAAATGTTTTGTGTGTCTGGCTAAATACGAACAGAATCTAGTTTTCTTTGATATTTGGTGCACCTTCTTCATGTTATGTTGTGTATTGATATAATATTAAGGCCTGCATGTTTGTAAATGTATTCAGCAAACAATTGGTTTATTCTAAATAATAAAATATATGTTTGGTTTCTAGGGCAATGTATGAAATTACCTCAGTAGAATCCCCTTAGTTGAGAGGAGAGAATGATTGTATTCTAATTATCTGTGGTTTATTTCTTCTTTGACTGACATTGACTCTTTTTGAGATTGTTGACATTCAATTCGTCTGATTAAAAAATATCGTAACTTTGCATTTATTGAATTTTTAAAAATATTTCTCTATATTTTTTCTAGTTACAATTTAGTCCTTTCTATTAGTCTTACATTAGAAAAAAATTATAGATCTAGTCAAGCCAAAACCTTTTAATTGTGTTGGGTGTTTAGTACCATTGGCCGCTTCCATTTCCTCACTTTTTCAACCAATGGTGCTTCAATTTAGCACAGACTTTCTCATGTTATTTGAATTGGATTTGTAAAATTATAATATTTTTTGTTATTTGCAAATACTCATATTTAGAATAATGTATGAATAAATATTTTCATCAAACTGCTTGAAACACAATACTGTGCCCATTTATGATCATTGGAGATAATTGCAATTTTCAAAAATGAAGGGATTTTAATGAAAACTAAGTCATTTCTATGAGCATACCTTTCTGTGCTAGAGCTCACACGTTAAAAGAAAAAAATGGAGAAAGTTTTGATAAAATTTGAAATATGAATAGGGGCATTGTTGCCATAATTTGCATGTCGCGTCGCGGGAGATTATGTAGCGCACACACGGCGCGACGCGACACGGCGCGAACTAGCGCGAATATTTAAAAAACGGCGCTGTCGAAGATCGACTTCCATTGCGATACAAATTTATTTAAATTAAAAAAATATTACGTCGGAAGAAACAGGGTGCATTAATTCATTAAATTGTATGATCTGAATGAAAATGTGATGAATTAGAAAAAAACATGCGTTTTAGACTAACAAATTATATTCGCATTAGGATATTCACCCTTTCCAAACTAAACTGCAGATCTGGAAGAAAATAAAGAACCGTAAGGTCCAAATGACATGTTGCTCCGTGTGTGTGCGCGTGCTTATGTTTGAATAAATATAATATTAGAATATCTCTCTCTTATCTATAATCTTGTGGAAGGAATTCGTAGAAATTTGTAATAATTTTTAATGACGGGACCAAAATAATGAGCTTTATAGGTTTACGTAATTCAATTATTACAAATTTAAAAACTACATCTTAACAGACTTAATAAAATGTTAAAACATATGTTAGTGTTATAATATCTGTACAAATTCCAAATGTATTTGTTTTTGGTACTTACGTAAATATTAGGCCTGATTAAATTATCATTTTCTAAACTATTCGACATATATTATAAAAAAGTGCAAATATGCTAGTAGTTTGCATTTCCTTACAATTAAATTGTGATGAATGCTGTTTGAATCCATAATTCAATTGATAGATATGTATGAATAACGGCAGGCCCTGGGATAGGATACCAGAGGTATCAAGATATATGCATTTTGAGACAATCTACTTTTACTCTTGATTATTTGGTATATTTTTTTTTGTAGTAGTGACAAATATTTCTAAACACAAGATACATCTGATCCAACGTGCAAGTCGTTGATGTTGATTTATGCCAATTTTACCTAATAAAAAATATGTATGTTTTGTACTATAACTTGAAATGTTGATGATAAATTATTGCATTAAGACGGATACGTGTGAACGTCAAGAGTTGTTTCAATAATGTAATGTGTGTGGCAATTCATAGTAATCTATTGATGTAACATCTGCAATACTAGATTATTTTTCTGTACCTGCGAGCATAATATTATTGCTCTATAATATTATGTAAAACTGATTCCTGAATATATTTTATGAATACTACAAACAAACATTTTTTTAATTGCCAACTTATTCTTCCCAACTCCAATTATTTTGTTTTTTATATAGGCGCAAAATTAGCTGAATACGTGATATTACAGAGGTTAATATGTTGTATATTCAGAAACAATTAAGAAGACAACAGTTCTTATCAGCAATGCAGATTTATTATTCCGAGTTCAAAAGCATAAACCAAGTACAAACCGGTTGGCCGTTCTCTAGATTAAGTCCCTTTTACAAACACTAATCATCAACCACCTGAAGAATCAAGCTGCAGCGGCCCTATCTGTTTATGCCATAGCAATATCTATATTGGATGTCCAAATAATAGATTGAGTACTGTGCTCCTGAGGCTGCTGCTACAACACTCAAGAAATACCCATCGTTCAGGCTACAGAGCGCAGTGTTATCCATTTAACTCCTGAACCCTATCGTAGTTCGTGCCACACGAGTTTCCCCTCCCAGTCTATATCCATGGTAATATATATATATATATATATATATATATATATATATATATATATAGTTTGCGTACGTGTGTCCGCGCGAACGTGTGTGTGTGCGTGCGCGCGTGTGTGTGTTGGTAGAATTATATAAACTCTTTGAAGAACATGACTATTATTATGTGCAGGGCACGGGTCTGTCACTGGGAAATTCCTTATTTCAGCGACGTGGTGGGGGAGCTGATGATTTATGATAGGTCCGCCATTATTGCCTATCATTATGAAGCGCTCTATAGCGACTTTTGCAAATTAATAAAAAAAAATAGAAAATCTGCCTTCCAAAAGTGCTGCCATCTGACGATAGCTCTGAGCGAAAACTCGAAACTGACCCCCTGAATATACTCTCTGCCAGGGGTCTGCCACTTCTTAGGCTGGGAAAATTCCTTATTTCAGCGACGTGGTGGGGGAGCTGATGATTTATGGCAGATCCGCCATTACTGCACCTCATTATGAAGCGCTCTATAGCGACTTTTGCAAACTAATAAAAAAAAAAAAATAGAAAATCTGCCTTCCAAAAGTGCTGCCATCTGACAATAGCTCTGAGCGAAAACTCGAAACTGGCCCCCAACGGCTCCGAATTTTGAATATCCTTTTATGTATAACGTGCACAACACTGTTGTGACAATAGTCTTTCAGCTTCTTATTCGGCAGTTTGTGGTTTTGAAGATTTCAGAATTTGAAGCAAAAAGCCGCATTTTCGTCGTTCGCTTCACAATTGCCATATTAATGGAATGGTAGACCCGGAAAATACAAGACTAACAAAGTAAGTGATATTAATATTTTGCACGTTTGTTAAGAATGGTTTGATATGATTACGATAATTATTTACAACATTGCATTAATTACTGTAGCATTGTTCCCCTAAGTTTTTGTATAGTCCTATTATTTTTGTTTGCAATAACATTAAATTCGATATTTGTGATACTTAGCAATTTATATATTTCCAGTTTTGATTATAGGTTTATGAAATGGCTGATGGGAATTAGGACCTATTACTGACGTCTTGTCCACAGAGGACATGAACAGGAGGAGGTATGTGTGCATAGAGCACATCTTGCCAGAAATGTTGACTGCAAAAAACAGCTGTGTGGAATGCAGTCCTCTGTAAAATTTCCTGACAATGCCCTGAGGTGCCTGATGGAGCTCCTTGAGCATTTAGAGATAGCTTGCCAGCAAGTGTAAGTGACATACATTGAGCATTTATGTTATGTACTAATAAGAAAGCTTTAAAACTTTTTCAGCTCAATAATTTGCCTCTTCGATTTGTAGGCTTGCCTAACATGCTGCAGCTACTATTCATTCCAGCTTCCTTGCATGATCTGGTGAGTATAGAAACCTTGTTTTATGAAGGTGACACAGCTCTACACACATCTTGAATTTCAATAACGCCTCTTTTTGTATTACAGGCAGCTCCCTACCTGCTGGAAAAAAGTGCAGGACATCCTGGAGGTGGCATTTATTCCAATATGTGATACGAAGTACAATACTGTCAATTTTATATTTCATGTGATATGCTATGGTATGTAGTATTGCTCATGGTCCGTTCAGATCCAAATTTGTCTTTTCAAAAAGTAGACAATTTTTTGGCAGGTTTTAAAATGTTAGTATTACTGTACAATGTATTCTTTCACCAAACTAATAGGCTGCGATGTGAGCTGTTGTGCGAGTGTCAAATGTGAGTTCAGTGCATATAGTTGGAGGTTAGGGATAGCTTTCACAAGAGTGATTTACATTGTTCCATATCTATTATTGCAAAGAATTTTATAAGAATTGATACATATTGTGTGTACAAGATTCAAATACATATGTGTGTGAATTAACTCGTGGATGTTAATTGACCTGCCATACATTTTGAATTTCTGAGAGTCTTGTGTTGTTTTCTTTCAATATGTTCTTAATTAAAACTGCAACAGACTAAATTGCTACAAGTTATGCATATAAATAAGTTTTTAAAAGGAAGTTAGTAAGTGCACTTTTCTTGCATTTTATCTAAATAAATACATTCATTAGTGAACATTCTCCATTTGGCAGAATGACGAGAATAATAGGGGGTATCATGGCACAAACATTAGTTAACCAGTGTTTGAGAAGCTATAATTATATGTACATGTTAATCACCGTTAATGTCCCTCAATTTAGTTTGGCATCAGTGTATTAAAAACTGTTGTCATGACTGAACAGACAATAATGAATATCTTTTCTTAATAATTAAAAATGATTCAATATCTAATAGGAAATATAATTCTTAGTGTATGATGTGATATTGTGTGTTATTGAGCAACTTGCTGTGCTTTTGGACCATTAATATATTGTCGAAATTTACAAGTCTAAAAAGTATTTTGGTATAAATCAATTTGAAGTGGATTCTGTTAACTCTACTCCATATTTTTTTCTACATAGGGCATAATATCTTTTACAAACAATGATTGCACTTGGTTGTGATATTTATGCCTGCAATTTTGAAGCAATCAAATGTGATTTTAAAGCAAGTGCAGGATTTTTCCTGATGCATGCTACAACTTGAAATTGGCTCATAATGCTTTTGGAACATATTTAAAATTTAATGCCCCAGCTGGAAAAATACAGTGGTTCTTTATTGAGAAAATTCAGTCTTCCATATGATTGAATTTAGCCAGCAAATTCACATGAAAACATGCAGAATGGAAACGTAACCCTATGAAAGTAAAGTTAGCTGTTTAAGTTCTTCAGTTGGAGATGCACTTACATTTTTAGATATATCCCAAATTATAGAGTTTCAGGCTATAAAGCTACTGTTCATTTCATTCAGGTCGTAGATTGAATCTTGCAACTTCCTCAATAGCAGAAGTGTCTTTGCCAGGGGCTACAAAAACCTCTCTTCTTTGACAATGTGATTAACAAAGAAATGCAAATTATTGAAGATGTTAATTATTTATTTTCTCTGAAAGACAGAAATGGCAAACTACTTTGCCATTCACCTAGGAAAACATTTGTTCTTGGTTTGGCCACTGCTGACAAATCAGTATTTTTTGGGGGGGAAGGAAGTGTTTAACAGAGCTCAAAATCCTCACAAGTATGCATTTACATACAGATTTTCTCAAGATAATGTTAAGATACTGTTCTCGAGAATTAAAAGATTAGGTTGCAACAACATCCCCAATGTTAAACAGTGTAGAAAAGCAGCATAGTGAATCTGATATTCTACAGTTCAACATTGGAGATGTTCTAAGGCCACAATAAATAGATATAAGGGACTATGTGCTGTACTATGTGTATGGCTTTATTGTTCAGTTCTTGACCAAACGAATTACTTGTAATTATGTTAAGTGTTGTACTCGCATTTTGCAGAGAACACAAGATTTGTTGATTTAAAAAACAAAGAGGTGGTCTTGTGTCAGCTGTAGAATGTGTCTACAAAACTGTACTTGAAACTGAGAAGCGGTTGTCTCTCCACTTCAGAGATAAGGGTGCTTCTGCTTCATATTTAGTTAAAAAAAGGGAAACAGCGTAAAGCGGTTGTGTGCATTTGAAATGAAATGAAGTAATGAAAATCTTTTCTCTGGCACCAATCTGTGTGCTATAGCCACTGCTAACTTATGTTCCTAAAAATTCAGCTTGTCAATTTAATAGTGGATAATTACTCAGTAATAAGACTTATCTCCCAGGTCAAACATTTTGCTGAAGATACTTGCTCTCTCAGTAAAAGACAATCAACTGAATAAGTTAATATTATTTAACAATATGTAAATATAATTCTAGTTATTAAGTGCCATTCACCTCAAACATGTGTAACAATTAAGCTTTTGTTGAAATAAAAATAAACTAATACGAATGTTATTTAACAGATATAAATTATTTAGAATCGTTGTGTGTATTCATTCCCTCAGGGTATGCTTGGTACTAATCGAATTCAAATTCCCGCCAGCTTTTTGCCAGTTTCTAATAAGGCTTCACCTGATCCAATGCTTTGACGACTTTGACTTAGCAGATCCTTGATGCAAGAATAAATCGTAACAGATATTTTCTTCGATACAAATTGTTTACAAGCTGTATTTATCCGTGTGTGTTTTGTTTCAGAATTGTACTGTGCAATGTATTTACGCAATATATTGTTAAAATCCCGGAAGTGATTGTAAACGTAAATTTTATGGTAATCAACACAAAGGATGAAAGCCGTGTTGAATAGGAGGAACCGGTTACACTCACTTAAACGCCGTTTTATAAAAGACAGCCCCAAATTTTTAAATGAAAATTGCCAGTTAGGACGGGTTTTTTTAAATTTATATTCTTAAAATATTTCCGTTCTACTACTAGGAAATCGAAAAAATAAGAAAGTATCAAAAAACAAAAAATGTACTTCGGGCGGCGATTTATGGTAGCTGGCAAGAGTATGTGGTAAATTTCTATAGCTGACAGAGGCGAAAGGAAATAGAAAATGAATACGGGAAAGTCTGCCGTTCTGTAGCACTAATTTGCTCATACCGTCTGGCATAATACAAGTTGTTCTTTTTTTTTCCTCTAGAAAACTGTTTAGAATAACTTGCTCGATGCGGAATCCCATGGGACCCAACCTTTTTTCCTTATTAGACAAGATTCCACACTATGCAAAGGATTAATTGTACTATTGCACACTATGCACTAGGATTAATGGTTGTCAGAACCGCAATGTATGTTCACAATAATTTCAACATGGAGCAAGTTTTTCTGTATTATTTACTTTTATGCAGAAATCTTTGCACATCTGGCTCTCTTCTTCGCAAGGTGCAATAAAGGATTAAAAATTATACACTTTTTCAGTAATGGACCCACAAACCAGTCAGAAACTGGCTGATTTTTCCGCAGCATTACAAATTTCTCTAAATATAAAAAGAAAAATGTACACAAAACTATTGAGAATTCGAGATAGATCAGAAGAGAGCATTGAAGATGTGTCCATAAAATGAATATTTATTTGTAAATCTCGTCTCCAGTTAAGTTTAATGTGCTTTTTTAAGAAAATGGCACATATGCCTTAGAATTTGGTATATTGGGCACTATCCTTACAAAATGATTGAAGAAAAATTTGGAGGATTTTTTTTAAAGAAAATGAAGTGATTTAATGAAATATTATGAATATTAAATTGAAAACAAAGATTCCTGTATCTACATGCAAGATGCCAATAAAAAAACAACAGTATTTGAGAAAATCTTGTTCACTTGTTTTCAAAAAATGTCAGTTGATCACTCATTATGTGAATACTTGTACACATTGTTTCAATGTCGAATATTGAAGAATAAATTCTATTGTGGAAAATTCTAATGATGAAAAGTTTTTAACTTTTATGTTTTTAAAATTTCAGTGTACATCTACAAAAGTTCAAAACCAGTATATTTATCAAAATCTCAATATCAAATCTGGACTGGTATGGTGCTACTTCTATACTACATACAAGAAAATGTGTATCTTGAAAGCAGTCTTACAAACTAAAAACAGAAAGTAAACTTACACTTACAAACATTATTAAGCCTTTAAAGTGAAATTAAAGTAAATATCTTTGAACATGTAACTTCCACTGAACCAGATTCCCAGAACTTTCAAACAAGACATCAGTCTTCCGAATGTAGATTTGCCATTTGATGTATAAGTAGAATTACCACCGTTGCCTAATAGCGGTTGGGCTTTTCAAAATAATGGCAAAGGATGAGAGTTGAATTTAAGCTAAACTAAAACGGTCTCTGAAAAATGAAAAAAAGTTCATGTTCTTAGTAATGAAGGGGTTAAAGAAAATTGTGCCATTTTTAAAAATAATGTAAGCCGTAAAATAAGAATTCTAATAAATTTTGTTAGCCTAATTAGCTTCGAACTATACATTTTCACGGAGTACAAGGTGTTAGATCCTTTCAAGGATGCAGTAAGAATGGAGTCCGGATGAGCTGAAATTCATGTAGTTTCCAACCAAATTTTCCCTTTATTAGCAAACATTTTATTAACCAACAACACTTTTATAGAAATATCTCATTAAATACAATATACAGGAATGAGAATACAATTAACTACAATGAGGTCAATCAGTACTACACATTTCAGTGATCCCTAAACTATAATTTAATAGTATAAATCAAAGGGAGGGGGGAGTCATTTTTATGAACGTGCTTAGATTTTCATATAGAACTTTATTAAACAGTGAGTTACTACATAACTTCAACACACTGATATACAAAATATATACAAGAACATCACATTGTACTTGCTGAAATAGAATGCACACAAACTTAGAAAGTTGTAGCTCAGGAAGTCTAATATAGTTTCAGGAGAATACATGTGGTTCACTACAGATATAATGCAAATCTGTCAACATAAACATATACAAAACAAATAAGTGTACAAACTCAAACCAGTAAGTGTGCTTGCCTGGATTTGCAAACCTTATTACTACCACCTTTTAGGTGTGGATCAAATGTTGAACATTTGTACTAAGTGCAAATGTGCATATGCATCACAATTCCTGCAAATGTATATCTCAACATATAAAAAATATACACCACACATTTTAAATACTGAAGGAAAAATAATTTTTCTCAAGAAAATGCAATCTTGATTTTCTTTTCCACAATAATCTACAAACCCGAATTATAAATCGAAGTAAAACATCTAGTAAAGAACCCAACTGAAATTGGTCTCTTACAAATATAAAAACACATTAGTAAATAGAAATTTGTAATTTACAGTTACAAATCAGAATAGCTAACAGGACAATTTGTGAATTCTAATTTTTATTTTGTTTGATGTTTTTGAATATTGAAGACTGTTGTACATGGTTAGACATCCATATCCAATGCCTCTAGAATAATTTCAAAATTAGTCACCAAGTGAATACATAATGGTACATATTTGGTCCTGTTTGATGATTAAAGGAACAACAGGATGTCATGAGATGCATTTACACAAGGGCAATTTATAATTTCAAAATAAATAAAATGGTAATTATCCACCTAAATCACATGAAATTTAGAAGTACAGTACAGAACAAAGGAAATGATACAGAAAATTAAGCTGTAATCAATTTCATCCCATACTTGAGTAATTAAAAACTAATAGTAGCCTTGTAGACAATTCGAAGTATGTTACTATGCCTCAGCTGATGGCATTAATTCGAAGTCACAGGCAGCTACAACTATCTGGAAAGAAATTTATCAGAATACATTATAGAAAAGTTATTATTACATATCCATACACTTCATGAGAATGTAAACTATCAAGTAGTTCTTTACATAAAGAAAATATAAATGGCAACAACTTTGCACATACAACACACTATTATAAAAAAATGTAAACATATATACATTTGTTGCGTCTAGTACTTCAAAGTACTTGACATAATTTCTCTACAAAAAATATTAACACGAAGGGCTTACACATTTCCATTTCTATGGCAGGTTTACCTTTACTCTGATCAAATACATTGTTTTACATGCTTATTTATTAAAACAATATTTTATATTGACAAGAAAACTTGTATTTACATTTCTTTACTCCCCATTGTTCTTCGGTTGTCTATCTGCAAAAGTGAAAAAATAACTTCATAGATCCTACTTGATTGACGCGAGCCCTTATCAAAATGCTAATAAAACAACTAAATGAGAATGTCCTGACACAAAACACCAAATTTGGCATTATTTTTTTCACACAATTTTTGGTGCAAAAATTGATATACAAGTGTCAGTCATTTTACTTGCTGGTACTTACAACTTCTCACATTTCAACCAGTTTTAGTTCAACTAACTGTCCATGAGAGCTACCATGAAAAATGTGAATAGATGTTCAAGAGTGTGTGCATCACCAAACAATACCTTTGTGATCAAATATATAAAAACACTGTCAAAGATGCAAATGCACCCAACAAGCCAAGATATAAACAGTTTTCATGACACTTTTACAACAAATTCATTACAGTCGAGATAAAATAATATAAAACAGCAAGTGTGTGTATAAATCATTGTAAACTTGCACAATACTAAGGATTTCAAAATTTTACAATGCAGTAAAATTTTCCTAGGATATGTGTAAATTGTAAACAATAAAAAATTCCAAGAAATAGATATGTGTTACAATAGATTCATGCAAGTTCTTATATAAGACGTGTCCGAATAATTAACTATTGAAATTATTTGAGTGCACACATTCCTAGACCTATAGAGAAAACACTTTTATTTAAAGTAACTTCCAGCAATTGCTACAATATTTTTTCAAGTAAGTGAATTATAACTTTTTACTTTGATTTCACAAATAAAGCCATCATAAACTTTATTGGTTAAATTAGAGAGTCCGGTACACCCTTAGAGAAGAGAGTGGAGGAAGGGGCAGAGGCAAATGGAGAGAAAAGGGGGAAAAGAGGAGAGTGGAGGGGGGTGCCTCCTATGTTCTCCTAAAATCACAAAAAGCGCGAGAGAAATTTATAAAACTTACCAAAGTGTGATTTCTTCAAGGTTTGTTTAGGTTGGGGTCACCCCCAAGGAAAGACAAGAATCTCTATGATGGAGTCTTGCCCCATTTGAAGGCACCTCCAAATACATTTTGCAAGTAGCTGTCCAACTGGCCAGCTGCATGTCGCCAAGGGAGGCTCTGCTTCATAGATCTCCACATGCCTTCTGTATGATTTTAATGCCCTCCTGATTCAGGGTCCTCATAACACACAGAGTGGTTTACAGCAAGAAGCTGAAAACCTCATTCTAGGTCCTTCTAAGACTTCCAACAATCAGAGAACACAATGGACCTCGGCATGATAAAAAATCTAATAACACCTAGAAGCTCATCTGTGATGTGCGTTTTAACGACCTTGAAAGAGACTTCCACTCAATATCAACACTCATTTCCCTATCACATCTCGCCAAGAAACTTGCACTTACCAAACTTCCTCCCATCTATCTTCACTTGCACACATGTGCCTCCAATGAGTTCATTTTCAATACTAGCTGCACTCAGACACTTGCCAGCTGACAGAAACTCATCAAGTCAGTCAGTTCTCCTACTTGCAAGCACTTCCATCGCATACAAGAACACGCACTACCTTCATGACCAAATGAAAGGTCATTACTAATACCCAAATCACATTCAGAATGCATCTAACAAATCATTAATCCTTTCACACAGATAACTTAGGTGTATGAGGACTGATGACTTTCTCACTACACTTTCACTCAAAACCATGCAACTCCTTGTACTTAGCTAACCTCAAAGCACACTAGCACAGGTCACACTAACCCTGTTGTAATTAATTCAGTTTTGGATCCATTTAACTATGGTCAAGCACTCCTTTCAGTGTAATACATAAACAATCGCATTTATTCACACCATTATAGTACAAACGCTCAACTCTAAAAAACACCAATCTCAAAGAATAAGAAGAGTGCAAGAAACATAACTGTTTGACAGAAACATAGCTAACCACTTAGACAGCTACCCTGACATCCAACCATACAAAACAAAATAAAATTGAGTTTGCAAAATTTAAACACTTTCAACCTCCAGACAATAGTAATCGTGTTCTGCCAATATACTAGAACATTAAATTACCCCTTTTTGAAACAACAAAGTGACCAATCACTAAACATTAAAATTATTTCCATAGTTTAATTTTTATATTTTATTAATATCTGCCACATCCTGCTCATTACAATTATGCACAATGTTCAATGTGCTTGCACACTACCCCTGACCATTGAAAGATTTCCGTCAAAATCTCCAAATTTCTCCTCCTCCATGGGTTACCCCCCTTCACCTGACCAGCGTGAACTGCCAGTTTCAGTGACGTCCTTAAGCTGTACCAGACTCTTCCAATTAACCACTTTCTTTCTAAAATGGGAACATTTTTTTACTTACACAGTGATAGGTTTTGAATATAATAACTTCAAGAGGTCATAACCTCTGAAGAACATTTCAAAGAGTACAAAAGAAGAAACCAATAAACCACCACAGTAATAATTAAAATTCACTCATATGTGATCAAAATATAAAATTTTCTTTCACAATTCTGCAATGTAAAAAAAGCCACTAGTTATATCTGTGATGTTACACAAGTGACCACTACTTCTTTCCAGAAAAGACATTCCTGTTAATCCTCACGAAATAAAATTTTATTAAAGAAAGCACTGATTTGTTGCCTTAGCATTGTTGATTTTATCCAAAAAATTCAATACTTGGATAAGCTTTTTTACCAGTTTCTGTAAACTAAATAATGTTTACTTCTGTCCTATGATGCTTGAGGACTTGAATTAAAATTTAATTACAATTACCATCTATTTCTACAAAGGAAAAAACATTAAAAACAGAAATATGCAAGACACAGAATAGAGTAAAATTTGATAAATTGAGTGAAAACAGTATTTCAAAAGGCTTATATTTACTGTAATGAAATTATTCATATTAATTTAATTCGCAGCTTGTACTACAAATTTTGTGAACAGAAGTTTCACAATGAACTAAAATTCTAGTCCAATTATATCAGCTAATTCACTAAGTGCCCAGAGTGCGTAACTAAAGTACAGGTTATCAATTATGGAGACAATGCACTTATAAAACATGCAAAGATATTACACACATATGAGGGTACAACTTAACATTCAGTAAAAGACCAGGAAGTTCCAATGGGCCAAAGAAACTTGATCTGCAACTAAAAAAACCATCTGTCAAGTAACTTGCATTTTAACATGCAACACACCCCTGTTGGACTACCCAACATGAACCTCCACATAGCAATGCAAATGTGTCAATAGCAAATTACAATAATAAGGCCAATCTGGCATGTCTGTATAATCCTCAACATAAAAAAAACAACTTAAAATTCAAATAATCAAATAGTAAAAAATTACCTTTACCCACTAGGTGTTGAAATATTATTCATCCTTCAGTTGGCTCTGTCACTAACTCGGGCATGGACAATACAGTTTCCTCCTTCCTTTCTTCAGGAATACAAGGCGCCTCCACTTCCACTGATGCATCTCCATCATATGGCTCCAGTGCCACAGTTTGCTCTGCTACAGCACTTTCTTCTGCTGCACTCAATTTCAATCTTTTGTCAGCTCCATCACTTGATGATGCTTTTCTCTTGACCCTTGCTGCAGGCATGTCTGGGGTTGATTCTTTACCTGTAGAAGAGGAACGTGTTTTGCGAGGGTGGTACTCTGGCATTGCCTGAAGTTTCTCTAGAGCAGTTTTTAATGGTAAAAGACCAACAGCGTAAGGAATATCTTTACTTGGAGAAATAATGGCACCTTTTGGTTTGGAATACTCAGATGCTGAGTTACACACAGCTACTGCAGGAGATTCCATTGTGCTGGATGTGAGCTGTGAAACTTCTTGGCTGTCTCCAGACACTTCACAGCCAGGAACACTCTCTGTATGTTCAATACCTTCACCTCCTTCCAAATCCTCTTCCAGCTTCGGCACAGTGTTGACTTCCCCATCGGATTGAGAGCCAAACGGTGATGATTCTTCTTTACAAAGGGATTCCACCTGTAATGGTTCAACATGCTCCAATTCACTCACTTCACCACTATGCTCCACAACACTTTCATACTCATTATTTTCTGGAGTCTCAATTACGCTTTCCTGTAAAACCTCCATTTCAACTTCCTGAGTTATATCACTAGGAAGTTCTTTAGCTTCAATGATCTGGTGTTCATTATCTTTCACTGCATCTACAGAATTATTTGCAATACTTTCAGTACCCCCTAAAGCATAGGAGTTAGAATTGTCATCAGTTGAATCTCCTGCATCATTACTTAAAACAAGACGTAAATCTTCTGTTCCTTCCTCAGATCGTAATACCAGATGCAGATCTTCAGACTTTTCTTCTTCTTCCATTGTTTGAGACATTGTTTCTAGTCCAGATGTAACATTTTCATCCTTTGTCACACCTTGTATTTCACTATTACCACATGGTTCCATTTCAGTGTCACTAGATTCACCCATCATTGCTTGCAAAGCCTGTTCAACAGACATTTCATTACTGCCATCAGTTTTGATATTTTTATGATCATTTTCATTATTCAGCAACTCAGCTGAACAAACACTGCTATCAAAAGTTCCCTGCTCACTTGCACACTTTGCCTCAAATTCTGAGTCTCTTTCACTTTTGATTTCCAAAACATCATCAATTTTTGTTTCACTACTAATTTGAACTGTTTCATCCACAACACACTGTTCTACAGTTCCATCATTTTGAACATCAACAGCCTCGTTTGCTGGATCAAGAGATTCTTGCTGCTGGGACATATCACTTTGTAAAATCTCACTACTTTCATCCATATTCTGAGTCTCGGTCAGACTCCCCGGCAAAGTTTCTTGACACAATGCCTGTTCACTCAAAGAATCTAAACATTCTGGATCCTGTGTTTTCTCACTTACAGGAAGTTTATCAGCAGATTCACATACTTGACTTTCAATTGCAGCAATATCAACACTGTTTTCTATTTCTTTTGGTACTACTGCACTATCTCCTGACTGCTCCTGTACTTGAGCCTGCACAGCTTCCATTTCATCTTCAGTAATTTCTTGCACTATAAATTCCACACCTTCTCCAGCTACAAAATTGCCCTCTGTTACATGACACTGCAGTACCCCACCATGAACTATTTTCATCAACACTTCCTCATTGACCGTAACATATGAACCATCCCCACTATCTAATAATATAGGTACATCAGTGGGAAGACCGGCTTCTTTCAGAACTTCCATGTACTGACTCATAACTGAACCAGCTGCTCCACTTTCAGACTCACCTTCAACATTCTCAGTACTGTACTGATATTCGACACTTTCCTCTTTGGGTGGTTCATCAACAGGTTCGCTTGAAAATTCATACACCTGTGATGGAATCTCAGTTTCCTCCACTTTACCAGCATTTACACCATTATTAGTAGAGTTATCTGTAGCTTGCAATGTTGAATTTGGAAGGGTTTTTTTCACAGAAGTGTTGGAAGCAGAATTATTTGTCACTGTTTTATACATATTAGTATTTACTCTCTTTGTTGCAGTCAAAGGACTGGAAACATTCTGAGTAGCAGTTACAGTACGTGACGTAGTAGCAACAGGAGTTTGTACAGACTGTATTTGCATTTTGGTACTACTCTGAACTCCATGTTTTACAAGTCCTTTGTGTACCTGTTCACCTGCTGTATTAACTTGTGCAGAATTAGTAACAGATATAGTAGATGGGGCAGAAGATGAAGTAACTGCAGTGGGAGTTACAGGCACAGTCACACTGGACGATGCAGAGACACCCGACTCTATAGTTTCTGATGACATTTCCTGTCTTAGCATTTCTAATGCTTTTCGACTTGCCTCTGCTTCCTTGTGCAGAGCAGCATCAGCATCTGTCATCACCCTCTCTTGAAAAAGCATGTTCATTTGCCTTTTCACGGGCCGACCTCTTCTTCGATGCCCTTCTGCAAGATAAACAGATTGAGGATTTGCAACAAGGACGTCCTCTCGCACAGATGCAGTTGTGTGATCAGCGATCTGGACACCCTGTTGCACAACTGAAGTGGCTGTAGTTGCAGCAGTTGCAGCTCCTGCAGTTTTTCCTCCATTGGATGTTATTACTGGGATACGCCCCACAACTTCTTTTGTTTTAACATTACCCTCCACACTGCTTGATCGTGGTGATTCAACTGACACAGCACTACTAGATACACTATGCTGAAATCTTACATTTTTACTCACGGTATGAAATGTTTGTTTTGGAAACTCGCTACCTGAGAGAGAGAGTAATAATTGGGCTGTGTCGGTTTGCTGTTGGGCATCTGGCCTAACTGTTATTGATTTTGAAATAGTCTGAAATGTTGTCTTGGTAGGAAGAGAAGGTAATTCATTTGGAGGAACACCAGTGTGAGAACTAGATGCATGTGAAGCTGGTACAGTCTTCAAACCACTTGTCACAAATGTTTGTTGCATTCCCACTCGCTTTGGTCTTCCAACAAAAGCTTTCCTGGCAGCATCACCTGGAAATAAAAAATAAAAAAGTGAATTTGTTCCTTTTGTGATTTCTGTCCCTGTTTCCACACTTCAATCAAGTTTCAAAACAGATTTTATAACATTCTAAGCGAGTGTTCCTCAGAATTTTAATCTGTTTACAACATAAACGAACTGCACATTTACGGGAGTGAGAAAATTATAATATCCAAATACAACCTGCTGAATTTTGTTTCACCGACTGTACAAGCTGATTACATCTTTACACATTTGCCTCTGCTTCAATATTAGCTTCTAGCAATGTCAAACTTTCTATAATGATTGTTTTGTTAATTCCTTGTTTAAATAAGCCGAGAGAATAATGTCTATGTGAAACCAGCTATTAACACCAAGTTACTAAGAATGAGGAATTGCAATATTCAGTGTATTTCTTCTCCCAAACAGTGTTTTATTTATATTTTTATATTGTTTCATTATTCAACAATTGCATTTGTATATAAAATAACAATGATTATTTTATGTAATTTTAATTGAAATTCAGTTTCTTTCAGATCTAGAACAAAAAAAGTGTCCTTTTACATAGAAAAATAGTGCCTACAATGATGCTACTGCAAGCAAAACAGTACATTTAAGAACAAATAGTTACAAGGCTACAAATTTTAGATCTCTGCTAGCCTGATTAGTCATATTCTGAAAAATGGAATTGAATAGTTGACAGTCCTCGAGTCTAATAATGTTCAATCTCTAAACTGTTATGAAAAAACACCCTTGTTGAAGGCTGAACACAAGTCAGACCATCATTTGCTTCATGATTTCATGGCCTTTCAAACAATATTAACATTTTAATTAATTTTGGTTACTTTTCTTAAATTCTTTTCATTTTTAAAATCACCAATGTAATCCAGAATAATTACCATTTATAGTTGATTTTGTATTTGGAACCAATCCCAGAGCTTCCTTTGTCATGGCAGACAAGCCTTTCACCTGCAAGTATGAATTTTATACATGTAATAAAGGAAATAAAAAACAGCATGCAATTATAGTGTCAAATATGAATATTTTGAACTTGAAACAAAACAAAAAACAAGAAAGTACTGAAATGAAATATTTATGTAATTTTTCCGTGAAATCATTTGAAAACTTCCATTCCCCATTGCTCGTATTCTATTTTTTTAAATGGGAACCAACCGACAATATATTTCCATAATTATTTTAACTGTGAAAATAATCCAATAAAATTAACATGCATTCTCTACCTGAAAGAATTTTGCTGCCTGCAGTAATGCTCCAAGGTTATCTTCTGTAACACTTGTCTCACCACAATACATGAATTCTATGAGAGATTTTAACACAGAGAACTGCATATCTTTCAATACAATTAATGGATGCATACCAAGCTGACGTTGTAAAATTGTCTGCAAAGACATTAAAAATTTTAATCAGACAGGTTTAAAAATTGTTGTGGATTAAGAAAGGAATTTTTAATTAAGATCGATTTTTTGTACGGTAATTAAAACATTACCTCTTAAAACTATCATTCATATCGCAATTTCACAAATGTGCACATAAATTATTTAACAATATGCTATAACATATATTTAAAAAAAAACAAGTGCTATACTCTTCACCAGGATTATTACCATCTTACGAAGAGTAGAAAGTTCTAAACCTTTCTGCTCTTGAGAAATTCAAACTATATTCAGATTCATCAAATGTAAAAAACAAACAGACTTCTGACAAAAACATTTATAAATTTCATGTTAACAAAAGGGCTCGTGCCAAAGAAATTAATACAGTTGAGAGAAACATGCAAGAGAGTAAATAAATGTATTTCATGCATTTTTCAATCAGTCACACAAGTTGTTAAAAATTGACTCTTCCTTATAAAAATCAATTCTCCGCTTCCTTCATCCTACATTCTAACAAATGAACTTGGAAATTCATTATCTTTGCAGAACATCTGAGTTACAAAATTGGCAGAAAGACCTTTAAGCTAAAGCCAATAATATTTTAATAGCAGACTATTATTAATTTTCATCTGCAAAAGTATATTCAGATTTCACGGTAAAAACTTATTTCACAATACAGAAGTATGAAGATTCAGGGTTTGGTCCCTCTGAAAATTTTGAAAAGGGACAGCAAAGCCCTCCTTCGACCCTGTGTAGCCATAATAAAACATTTGATTTTTGAAAACATGTTCAAACTCTGATTTGGCTCCTTTATTAACCTGACAATTTAGAGCATTATTATACATTCCGTAAAGACTCTCCCCACCATGGTTGAATGTAAAATCAATAACATTTATTAATAACACCATTAAATATACAATTTCAACCTTAATGTGTGTGTTTTATTTACTTGCTAGTGCAATATAGTATATATATGTCAAATCTTTATGGAAACGAAAGCACACAAATGTAATGTGTCCCCTCTTGTTTTTGTCAGTACACACTTAGAATTACTACCAAAAAGGGAAAAAAATCAAAAACTAAAAAAGAACCATAGAAGAAACGGTTCACATAAAACTGATCTAACACAATATAGATTTAAAAAGAAAGACATAAAATAATGGCTAGTTTAGAAACAATATTAAAACACAGGACATGCATTGGTTTCTTACCTCAAAATATGGACTACATGCCGCTAAAACCGCCCGATGCACTCGCAGGGTATGTGTATTACACATTAATGTGACATCAACTAGTGTCTGATGTTCTAAAAGTTGTCCAAGTCGTGTTGCAAGGTGTGAGGGATGCTCTTCCCATTGCACCATAAACCTTGTGCCCCCCATTTTCAGACCTTTTAAGTCAACAACCTGTGAAGAAATCCACATATTTTACCATGGTGCGTAAAACTGTAGATTTAATCAAATAATAAGCAAGCAACAAGGATAACATGATTTGCATTTAATACAGGTAACTGTAGATCTCTGGTACCATTAACACTAAATTTATTAGCAACAAAAATGCTATAATAATAGAGGCTTAACAATCCTAGTTTAATAAGAAACGCACATAACAAAAGTAAAGTAATTCCCACCAATAATAAGCTCGCATGAAAACTCGAGGAAACATAAAACATAACTGTCCTAGACCCACACAAAACCAAAATTTAATACTGCACAATTAACTAGTACCATTCTCATGTATTTTAACACACCTGTACAAATAAAATAGGACGCAAATAAGGATGTTTAGATTGAAAATTTCACGAAAAATCCCGATGTTCGCCATAAGCAAGCCCAACACAGAATTCTATTACCACAGCGCCCTCTTAACTTTGCATCCGGCGAGTAAAAGGAGAAAACAAATGACGCCAAGCGAGGCCTTCTAAAGAGGCGATTACCAGTATTTCAATTACAATCGTTTTGATGTGCCAATTAAAACATGTCTCAAGATTTTCCCACGCGACTTCTCGGGAGCTTTTAGGCTTTATTTTCAATTCTCAATTCATCTAATTTTGGCCCAATTCGTTTAGTGTGTTTTTAAAATGACACAAATGTATGACACGACAATTAACCCTTTAAATCAGTTCTAAGAATGTGCAATTTCAACCTCGTATTCTGAGCATGAAATTGTGAGTTTATTAATAGATTCTTCTGAGTATTAATACCATGATCACAACTATGGTTCTGACGCATGTACGGTATATCTAAAAAGCGTCAATAGTTAATCGGCCACACTTGATCTTTAGCGACATCACATGGTCGATGAAGGAACCTTTCATTGCATTTTTCGGCTAATATAGTACAATCCAGATTTTGGCGAGTGTTGGGTGGCAACGTCTGCTGTGCGCATCAGTGATTCCTAAAGAATTACTAAGTATTGGCGGTATTGCCAAGATTCGTGTGTCGTATCACATTTGTTATATATAATGATCTTTGCTTTGTTTCGGTTTACTTAGGTTCTAGCAGCGAATTTCCTCGACATGTTGTTGTTTTTTTTTAAAGCATTATTTTATCAACACGAGTCAAGTCGCTACCTGTTCTTTTTGAAAAGGTTCGCAGTAAATATTATGATCTTAGCGATGATATTAAGGTGCTGCTTTATAATAAACAAAACATGAAAAATGAAACATTTGCTCCCACGTGACATTCCATTGGTTATGAAAAGTGCTATTAGTGCTAAAGTTATCTCCACGCCGTGAAATATTACGAACATTTTTGAGACTTTATGAACCTCCTAGATTCCCCCCAAAGATTACTAAAATTTGACGTATGCAATATTTCTGTCAATGATTAAAATTAATTTAATTTTCATGTCCAAATGTGTCATAGATTTCATATTATTACAAATTAGCACCTTGGCATTATCACTAAAGTCAGGATATTTACTTCGACCCTTTCCGAAATAAAAAAAAGGTAGTGACTTGTTTGCAGTTGCGGCTCTTGCTTAGGTTGCACAACTCCGATATAATCGAATAAGATCTCATAATAAAAATACACATTTTCATTTTAATGGCATTCAAGACATTGAAGCGATATCGACGTACATGAAATTACTTTGAAACCAAAGAGTGTCCAACTGCCGCTTTCCGGTACCTCGCCGGGTATTGCACCGTGATCTTGGCTGTGTTACTGGGTTTACTGCATTTACTCTTTGGCCCTTCGATTTAACATTCTTGATTTGTAAAATAATACGCTAAAAACAGAAACACTAAGAACACTGAACTTCACAACAAAAATAATGTGCGCAACCCACGTGCAGTAGCAAGCACATTCAATAGACATTTCTCTGAAATTGAAGAAAAATTAATTCAGAACAACTCTTTAAATAATATAAATATGCAGTTAAATAACACACATCAACAAATGTGTGTGTGTGTGCGTGCGTGTGTGTGTGTGGTTGTGTGTGTGTGTGTGTGAATCATCACCTGCAGAAGTACAAAAAATCATAAATCAAATGAAAAACAAATTCTATACAGGACTGAATAATATCCTTGACACTCTCATTAAACATACTACAACAAACATAATAAAACCGCTCACTTACGTTTGTACGAAGGTTGCCTTTTATGTTGCGGGATTTGGCAACCCTGGTGTTGCAATCTGGCAACTAACAGCTCTATCGTAAAGTTGGATGTTTTTCGGTTATACGTACTCAGAACATTTTGACATACGAGCGCTATTTGTGTTGTTTACAGTAACTTAAAATATTCATATTGGCAAAAAAAATGGAATTAAATCGTGAACATTTTCGTGAGATTATTTTTTACAACTTTCGACGTGGATTACCTCAGCAACAGTGCATGGATGAACTTAATTCAATTTTTGGCGATGAAGGACCAGTGTTAATCGATGGCATGGTGAATTCAATCGTGGTCATAGTTCACTCCAAGACGAATTTCGCGAAGGTCGTCCAAAATCAGTTGTTGTTCCGAAAACCATTGATGCTGTGCGTGAACTGATATTGCAAGATCGTCATGTGACCTATTGTGAGATTGAGACAACCTTAGGCATTAGTGGAACCAGCATACATTCAATATTGCATGAACATTTGACTGTCAAAAAAAATTGTTCGCTATGGATCCCACACAATTTGTCAATCGCTCAAAAAAAGGCTCGTGTCGATTGGTCGAAAGAAATGCTCAAAAAATACGATCGCGGTGCTTCGAAACACGTCTATAACGTCGTGACAGGTGATGAACCGTGGATTTACGCGTATGATCCCGAAAGTAAACAGCAGTCGACTGTATGGGTGTTTCAAGATGAACAAAATCCAACAAAAGTTGTTCGCGCACGAAGCACTTCCAAACAGATGGTCGCCTGTTTTTTCAAAAAAACTGGACATGTCGCAACCGTACCACTACAACAACGCAGAACAGTCAATTCTGAGTGGTACACAACGATTTGTTTGCCAGCTGTCTTCCAAGAAATCAGGAAAACTAACCTCCGAAGACGAATCACTCTTCATCACGACAATGCGAGCTCTAACACATCGGCTCAAACTGCATTTTTGAGCACCCTAACCATCGATTTGATGAGTCATCCGCCGTATAGTTCTGACTTGGCACCGAATGACTTCTTTTTCTTCTCTTACGTAAAAAAACAAACTGAGAGGTCAGCGTTTTTCGACACCTGACCTCGCAAGTCTGTTTTCAGTATTCATTTTTACTGATTTCTCTTTGGGTCTTTCCTGATTTTTTGATATTCTATTCTATCTCTATCCGCTTTTTTTGATAACCATTTTCTGAACATTTTTACTTTCCTAGTCCTCTGTGGGTTTGTCCGCTACAATGGACATTGACTATTTTTTTCCAATCCTCTTCTTCATCCAAGGCTTCATACGCAGACTTCGTAGGCACACCGTTTCATATATTCATACATTCGTCTGGTGTTCTTTCTTGTACCGATATTTTGTTAGTCGAGTCGCATATGATATAAAAACTTTGTAAAATCTTATTGCAGACTTTCAAGATCATACCTTGTTGCTGACATTACTCTCTCGCCGCCATAATTTTGATTATATGGCTCTCGACAATTTTTTTTAATGGAAAGCACATCTCAGATCGCAAGACATGATGGTCTGAATAGCACTCTACACCGCTCTTTACTCGTGCATCGTTGGTTTTTATTTTGTTGCACTGTTTTACAATAATATCGTCAATAATGGACCTCAATTTCCAAACATGTTGAATTCATGTACAGCGATGTATGTTTTTATGTTTAAACTATCCATTTGTTATTTTCACTGTGTTAGATAGCACAGCTCAATTAATAAGTCGCTCTCCGTAAACCATTTAATATGTTTTCGCCGTATGACGCCACCACTCGGTCACTCGAGAGCCACTTCTACCATTGAAGTCCCCTAGTAAAATTATTTCTACCGTTTACTGATTGTTCCCAGCAACGTCGTCAACACATTAAAAACCATCTTTAAGCCTTGCAATGACGTCGTCATTAGGGACGTATACAGCTACTACTACAACTGTGTAATAGTAGACTTCCTTTTCAACTTGTAGAATTCGATCACTTGTCTTCTCTCAAGATTTTATGTTGTTTCTGTACTATTGCCTTATTGCCAATGATACACAACTACGATCTCTCTCATCCTCTGGAACCCCTGAGTAAATATGTGTATATCCCCCCTTCTGTTCTGAACCTTTACCTTTTTTCATCTGGCCCCTTGTCTTTCTTCTGATCCCGACGCTATTAGATTTCGAGGGCTAGGGAATCATTCATGTTTTCATCTTCACTTTTCTTTGTCTTTCTCCCTTTTTAACTTCTCTTTCCTTTCACACGGGGGTGGGGGAGGTGGTCAGGCAGTTGAGGCCACCTCCGTATGGCACGGGGAGCGAGAAACGATATCCCTTGGTCCTCCAGTTCGGGGGTCGAGGCCCTATATAATATGGCGAACATAATATACGACTTTGGGTAAGGAAAAGGACTATGAGAATTGAAATATGAAATATTCAAGGGCTATCGACCAAAGATATAAATGTATTCAAAGAAATTGATATGAATCGGATGATTAATGTAGCATTTTGAGAAACAAAGAAAAAGGAATGATCGTTATTAAAAATTATACTAGGGTAGTGAAATTTTCGAACAAAAATAAATTTATTTGTGTGAAACGTTTCGTGCAATAAGCTGGAGTCGAACTTAAGCCCAGTAAACATCAAAGAGACCACGTGCGGGGGAGTTGTATATACCTGAACGGATACGACAATTATGTAACCAATGTTTCAGTATAGACTTTCATTTAACTTACTTTTAATTAATATGAATTGCTTACGATTTTATTTATATATTCGTATTTTGAATTTTGAAAAGTACATTTCCGTCATTCAATGGAAGTGCAATCTCCTGTCATGTCATCTCTGTCATGTCATGTTCCAGTTTTATATAATAAATGCGGCCGGTACAATAGCATTTTCCGCAAAGGTGAACTGTGAAGGTGAACTGACCTGGATGAGACTTTTAGCATTAAAAATCTCCGTCCTTCCCCCATATAAACATGGTGACCGGGGAGGGGAGGGGAAAGGATGTGATGGGGACAGGGGAAGTTCTCATATGAGGGGTGGGTTGTGGGGTGGGAATACAAGTTGATGATATTTCGTCTTATTTTCGCTAATTTATTTTATTATATTTTTCAGGGGAAATGGAAATGAGGGATTTTGTTATTTTATTGTCTTTATTGCAAAACTGTTATGTCTTGTATATGTCCGAATGTTGGTACAGTCGTAATGCTTAAAATGTATTATTTCCGGAGTAGTGTGTTAGTGGGGGAAAAGGAGGAGGCGGTAGTTGAAGGATGGGAAATGGGTGGTGTCTTTTTCTATTTTGGGGTTGGTCCTCTGTTGCAGGACGTAAAGATGATTTACACATTACAAGTAAACT